TGTTTGGCTTGTGCATTTCTATGTGAAGCTCTGAGCATTCCGCTTTGTTTTGTTTGGTTAAAATAGTCAATATTTAATTGTCAACACATCATTGGAATAAGAGGAACAGGCTTTCTTTGGTGGTTTGAGATGGAAAAAAAAAACTTGATTTTTTTTTTCCTGAATGAATAAGTTTGCAGTCAAAAATGTCAAATCCAAACCAAAATAGTCCCCAACAAGCACACCATTGTGGAGAACGGAAAGAAGTGATTTTTCTCCTGGGATTTGTTGACAACGGGAAATATGTACAATGGTAACCTTCAGGACCACTTTGGAGGAAAGTCAAGTAAAGGTCAAAGAGAAGAGCAGATATAGACGAGGCCTTGGTGGTCTCATGGTGGTCGAGAGATCCGTCACATCCTGGCCCAGTGTGGCAAGGCTTGTTGCCCCCTGACGCTCTGTGACCTAGATTAAGGGACGCAGCCAGGACCGTAATCTCTCGTTTCTCCACCCCCTCTTTCACTATGGAACAGGCTGCTAACGGGGAAGGATAGCCTATCCGCCACAGCTTGAAATGTTAGCATGCTAACATGTAGCGTCTGTGTATGTACTGCAGCAACGGATGCTGGATTAAGAGATTGTTCTTATTTTATTGGATGGGGAAAAAAAAAGGTTCAGGGGTGATGAAGAGTTAAAGATGCATCCCACTGCGTATGAGTAAACCTTTGTTTTTCTTTCTACACCGAGTGGCAACCCGCATCCGAATAAAGAAGTGTTAGACACCCCTAACAGATTTGAAAATAAATAGATTTAAATGAAGTTATGCATTTCCAAAGTTCTCCTGTCGACACTCCCTGCACAGATATCAGCCAAGTCAACCACTGCACTGTCAAGAGGACTTCTCATCATGCTTTGAGAAAAGTTTCAGCAGAGTTCTGAGTCTTAATATCTAAACAATCAAGTGCACAGATGCCATAAGGGCTGCACGCTACCAAGTTGAGCAGCTTGCGCGCACAGCTCGAAATTCCAGTCCGACTCAATCACAAAGTCTTTGATCCCCTCAATGGATTTCTTTGTGTCCTTGCAGTCCAAGACGCTCAAGTGGGCGGTGTTTCCCCTCACACACTCTCACGCACACACACACACACGAGCACATGCTAATACACACGCACGCACACACGCACGCAAACTACTGAAAACAACCATTTCTGTGATGCATATTTTCCTCTGCTTATTACTGAGTGCGTCCCGCTTCAAACAACAATGGGAAGATTGTTGCCGAAAAAAAGATATCCATGAGAGAGCTCTCGAACTATTGGAACGCCAGATGCTGCTCGGCCCGTCCTCAGCAGAGCACACCACTGGTCCAGACGGCCAACGCATTTGACGGTTGGGGAACATGTGGCAGCATAGCGAGGGCATCTGGACATCGCAGCGCCTTTGGTGTAAAGTTGCAAGCAAAGACACAGGCGTCATCCTCTGAGACCTGGGACAGCCCCACTTGGGGAGTCACCTTACTACTCACACTCCCGAGTGAAAAGACTGAAACGGACATAAACTGGGATTCATTCTGACAAGTTCGGATTTCTTCACACATCTGCTTGGATGTGAAGGAAGATGAAAAAAAAATCAAGACTTTTCCCTTTATTCCTCAGATTTTCTTTACATTTTGAGGTGTGGTTGAAAATGGACGCCCCCTAAGTATCTAAAATCTTACTGCAAGAGGCAGCCCGTGGCTCGGGAGGTAGAACAAGTCGTCCACTAACCAAAGGGTTGGCCACCCAAATCCCGCTCTGTCCGAGATTGTCATTTTGTGGGCAAAACACTTCACCCACCTTGCGTCCAGTGTCACAACTTTCTTGCTGTAGAACAAAAATACTGAACCAGTGAGTGGATGGAGTGCTCCAGTGAGTCTCATCATTGACAGGCACAGAAACGGTCTGACGTGACGCAAGCAAAAAAATGTCAGTGAAGATTTATTTACAGCTGATGCCTGTAGATTGAATTGCTGTTTTAGTACCACTTGCATCCAGTGGACAAATCTAACTATCTAATGGGCCGTCTTAAAAATACATTTGTACGTATATGATGCAATAATGAGCTAGGACCACAATCTCTCTTTCAGCACACCACCAGTGGGCCCCAGTGTTGGGCTCTCCATGCCAAACATGACATTACTCATCCACCCTCGGGCACCTGAGAGCTGCACAGCACCAATCAGGCTGCTGCACTGTGATTCACTGACTTGCATAACAGTCATCACCACCACCACCATATTCCATTTTGTTTTCTTGCACTCACACAACAAGTAACCCTCTGCTGTACATTCGGGGGGGAAAAAAGAGCTGTGATGTGCATACAACATCATGTCTGAAGATGCATACAGCATATAGATACGCGCTGTAAACACACAAGGCCCCCCAGGTTAACTCACTTGACCCATTTTCACTGACAAGTGTATGAATGCTCATGTGTGATGAAACATAGACATGGAAATCATGTTGCAAAGAAGAAATAATTACCTGTCTACCATGAATATTGGCATACAGGAAACGATATTAATAAGCGAATGTTACAAAAGGTAATGCTTTAAAAAAAAAAAAAGAAACAAGAAAAAAAAAAGAGGTCAGTAAGTCTCCGAGGAGGATTCGCAGTCGTGTCCAGATCCAAGGGCAACACTACACCTGCTGCACATCCACCTCTTGGTAAAGCCGTCTTACCTTCGGACAGCTCCAGGTCCAACTCCGCCAGCTGGTCCCTGACCTCTTTTGGCAGAGCCGACAACTCGACGCCGCGGTCGGCCATGGCGGGAAGCTCGAGCAGCCTGCGGTGTGTTTGTGATATCTCAGCCGACGGAGGATACAGTCCCGCATGAATGTAACGAGAAGGACTCAAAAGGCTGCCGCGGCGGTGGTTACTCCATCCCCGAGACTCCCGGACACCGCCATGACTACTGAGGGAGCTGGGGAACAAGTCGACGTCGGCGGTCACGTGACCAAGCAAAACAGTCAACGGTGGTACGGCCGCGCAGCGCTCCCTACTGGTGGATTTGTCACATAGCAAGTGCCGTTGAGACGACTCGCCCGATTGGACTATGCAATCACAGGTTGGTGACGTCATTATAGGGTCGCGTGAGCAATATGGGGGGAGAGGGGGCTATATTGTTTTTTTTTTCCTGCCCCAAAAGTGCTAACTAACCCTTTAACAGTTGTGTATACCTAATTGTTAGCAATGCCTTCTATGATGTCTTGAATACTATCAGAAGCACGAATATTTAACTAAAATCTCTCTATTGTCCTCTGTAGGGTGAGGGGCAAGTTTCTCCTCCCAACAATTTAATGACATGTACAATATTTATCTTGGAACCCGCAAAAATGAATACTGTATAAAAAATCATGCTGCCATGCACAAAAATCTGAGGAAATACATATGAACATTCCACAACAGTATTATAACACAATACAGTGCTATAATTTTACTGTTTCACATACTTGCTGTCAGTAAGTTACAACTACTTGTATTTAAGCAGCTGTCCTAACCCAACATTAACATTTATCATCAGTCATGGCACTTTGATTGGTAGGCTCAAATAAAACAGCTGCAGAATGTTCCAACAAAACATAATTTACAATAAATACAGCTGTGATTTGGTTTTGTAAAATGTAGAGGGCTTGAGTGCAGGGAGACTAAAGCGGAGTTAAGACAAGATCATGAGTCTATCTTTTTTCATTAAGTTATTTTATTTGCCCAAGATAATTAATTCAGACTATACACAAGTAGTTCTCCCATCTTGAGGCCTGAGTATTTGAGAAACTCCTTCTGAACAAATATTTTCTGGAGACATGTGTATGTGGTTGAACCTCTGTTAAATAGATAAAAGACTGGTTTGAAAAGAAAAGACAGACACCGGCACTTAAAAAAAACAACTGAAAAGAGTGACAGGTTGTTTTAAAGGCGACAGTGACAAGGGTAAATAACAGGACAGTCTTGGAAGTACAATGCAGTATAAAATCTCCAATTAAAAACATAACATTTCAAAAGAAGCACCTTGCACAACCACTTTTGTCTACTACTCAATACATAATTGCTTTTCAAATGTTGTAAAGCACTCAGGGAATCTGTAATGCTCCACAGACATGTAGAAACCACCAAGCTCACTCATTCACGAAAACACATATTCACATTTTCTCTGGTCAACTGCATTAGACCACACCCCTCAGTGGCTGGGCGAAATGCAAAAACATTGATACTTAATAGAAAAATATATTGCACTACTCGTTCTTCAACTGAAATGCCTGGGGAAATGGTTTCATCTCTGCTTGTTTTCATTTTTCATTCTTAGAGGTCATCTAAAGCTAACCGTTAAGACTGTAACGTTACATTACTATTAAATTGCAGATCAATAAACTGACGCTGTGACAAAAAAAAAGCGGTGCACCTCAACTTTGAACAATCCATGCAGTCATAGTTTTTTTTTTTTTGTATTATGTATTATGTTTATTGGAGGCTGGTTAAAATAATAATAAAAAGGATGGTGGTGCAAACTGCTAGTCACGCACTACGTTATTCCGTCGCACACTTCCTACCTAATGAAAAACTGCCTGGCCAAAAAAAAAAAAAAAAAAAAAAAATCACCAACTGGCTTTGACCAGAAAAACCGGTATATATTATCCATTGGGATAATTACTGCAGTGATAAAAAGGTTTCAGGTGGCAGCAAGTTGCTTAACCCAAACTAATGCAGTGAGCAGTATTGGGAGATAGGTTCATTGGAAGTGGTCGTGGGAAAAAAGACTCTGTTTAAGAGTAGAAGTACCGGTAAACGTGAAACTGCGGTGAATCATCATCACTTTCCAGGAAGAAAAGTGGTTAAAGTACAATAATGTAAATATTTAGTCAATTCAAATATTTAGCGAAAAAACAAACAAACAAAAAACACAATTTAAAATTGTGGTTAACTTTAGCAGTGAAAGAACATTTTCATGAATGATGTGAAGAAACTCTGGAGATAGGGACTTAAAAAACAAAAAAAAAAAACATACTTGTCAGTATGGCTAGGAAACAAATATTGATCCCAATGCAGACTGACTCTGTTCCAGAGTGAAGGGTGCATAGGATAAGAAGAAAAGGGGATGCAATGATGCAACACCCATAAATCTATAATCTTTGGGATGTACAAGAGAAGACTGAAGTAGCCGTCTCTTCCATTATCAAAGACATTGGAAGCAAATTACTGCTGCTCAGGGTCAGGACGGAAATGAACGTTTAGGGCATCACATAAGCTTATCAGTGCCAAGGCAATGTATTCAAAGCTAAAAGCAATCCAGCTAAATATGACAGTGCCTTTTGTGGTGGGGCCGGGCAGGGTAGGTAATTAAAGGGTCAGATTAACTACTAAAGCAAGGTAGAAAGCCACAAGAGGCTGCAACAAGCCAGACATGTCACTGCATCAGTACATCGTTTGAGCACAAAGGGGGGAGCTTGCCGAATCGGGCCAGTGAATGATCGCTCTCAAATATTTAGTCAGATGCATCAAAGCCTGCTTTGTGGGTCACGCACAGACAGGCACTGAATTTTGTTTGGGACTGAAGTGATCAGAGCCTGATGAACACGGTTCATTCATACTTGTCATTCAAATACAGGATGTGACCGAAGACTCCGCATCGTGTTTTCCCTATTTACATACACAGAGAGAAGAGAGGAGGCCTGATGCCGTGTCTTTATGTGATTATCATTGGCCGTGAGGGAAGGAGAGAGTCTTACTCTGGGGGTAGTGGGAGTGAGGGAGACTCCCTCAGTTTAACACGTGGCAACAGTCCAACCTCCCAAATGCCACTCGAGTTTATACTGGCTACCTGCGTCAGCACATCATCTCGGCGTTGACTGGGACTGCGTCACCATGACAACCCCTCCCGGCTGGCCCGATCCCATGCCGGCCAAGACAGACATGGCCACCGCCTCTGCGGCACGGACGCTCATGCCGTTGATGGTGGGACCCGGGCTAGAGGGCGGGGCCGAGGGAGAAGGCCCATGCTGGATGACTGCTGCTGGCGATCCGATGGGTTCGGCCGACATCTCCCGGGACGCTTCCTCTCCTCCTGCAGCTGAAGGCAGAGAAAGAGACATTCACCCTTAGAGAGGTGAGCGAGTAAGGACACATTAGATGGATGAGATGATGGATGGATCCAACAGGACACAACACGCATGACTGATGGTTTGGTTTTGCAGAAGGCTTACCTAAGAAAGCAGCTTTCTTCTGCATAACAGTGACGGGGCAGTCTTTGTGGGCGAGGAGGAGCTGCTTCAGCTGAGCCACCTCATTCCTTAGGAGCGTTACTTCGTTCTGGCAGGAAAACAAATCCAAAAGGCAGATCAATGCAATTATTGTCCTGTGCCTTGTCGTTCTTTGTTTGTCCTATATGTACTGCTTTGATATATCACTGTAGTGTTAATTTTTTAGAAGTTTTGTGTAACTCTGAAAACTTTTTTTTTTAATTGTGTCATATTTAGTAGAAACGGAAGAAACAGAAAATACACACACACACGCAGGCACGCGCACACACGTTCAGAGAAGCCTTTTGACAGATTAACAGTTGGTTGGAAAAAAAAAAAAAAAGAAAGTTTGGGCAAAAAGGGTAAACGGTTGTTCCCCAACTAAGTGATTGACGTGGACCAGTCTCTTACCATCAACCCCTCAATTAATCAGGCAAGTTTCTTTTGTTTTGGCCACACTTGTAGCACAAGACAAATACAGCACACAACTCAATAGTGGACTTTGATTGTTTCAGATCACCTCAGATGTTTTCATAATTTTTTTGTTTTTATTTTTTAAAACAACTAAAAAGCTGCTTGTCCATAAGTGCTGTGTGTTTTGTTACGAAGTGTTTGAGATATGATAGTTTCATGTATTCAAAATATACTCAAACGTGTGTATACTCAAAAATAAAATGAAATGAAGACATAGTTGAAATTATTTGTTCTAACTGACTGCGAGCAGGGTTTCAAGGTGCTCCCACAGACGCACACTCGCTCTCATCCTTTAGTGTTAAGTACACTGTTACTGTCGCGCTGCATTAGCTTGAACAAACGACCAGGAGGAGCAGTGAGCTATCAACAAATTCTGTATTTCACAGCGATGTCACCTCTTGCTTCCTTTCTTGCCACTCCTCAACTCCCTTATTCAATGACAAATCACACTCTGTTGACTTCATGACCTCCCAGACAATTGTAAATTTTCAAAAACTCAAGAAGCAACTGCAGGCTTTCATCAATACGCAATGACTATTTCGCATACCACCAGTGAGAGCCACCGCACGCCACGGTTTTAGAATCACTGATATAGAAAATGGAGCTCTGGAAATGTGATCTAAATGACTCATGAAAAAAATCATTAAAACATTTTTTATACACATGAAATCCCTTAAAGTCTCTGAAAAGCAAAAATCTAAATCTGACACACCACAGAAACTCTTTTCTGTGGTGTGTCAGATTGAGAACAACCCTGGCAAATTTCAATGACTTAAAAAAAAAAAAAAGAAATAAAAAGAAAATTGCCATCTATATAAAATGAGGCTTCAATACTTTCAGCCCTCCTTTCGCATGGTTCAAAGTAAGTGCTCAGATTTACCCTCCAATGGCTGAACGCTCACCGTCAAAGAGACATTCATGCTGGCAAGATCGTCCGCCTTCTTCTCCAAAGAATTCACCCACAACTTCCTCTTCTGCCTGCAGCGTGAGGCGGCTGCTCGATTCCTTTCGAGAAAACGCTGTCTCCTCTCATCGGGGTCCATCTCAGAGGCTCGCCGCCGCCGGCCTCCAGTTGGCTGCGCAGGGGACACCTGGGGATGAGGATCGTCTGCATAAGAACTGAGTCAACCTCTTTGGAATCTTTCTTTTGGGTAAGAAATTCAACAGGACGTGTAAACTAATAGCATCCGCAGTACAACCTTGGTTCACAACCTGAATACGATCAGAGACTGCGGAACTTCCCACAAAAGGAACAGAAGTTGATTTAATCCATTGCCAGAAATAATTAGAAACTACAAGAACCCTTCTTTGGGTCCATCGTAGTCAAAATAGTACATAGCCTGAACACGGCGCATTGAGAAGCGGAGAGGAAGCTTCCTGCCGAGCCACAGCACACCCGCCTGCCGGATGACCCACGTGTACCACAGCTCTGGCTGCTCCCCCAACAGATGGCAGATTTCGTCAAACAACCAAAATGCATAGCGGGCTCAGAAACATGAGCATCATTCTCATGCTGAGGCAGTATTTCCTTTTTTTCCTCACCCCCAACAGCAATATGGTTAAGCTTCATTCTTGTATAACCACTTAACTTTTCATTTCCTGGAAGCCCCCCCACCCCCATCCCAACACACAAACACTCCCCACACACAAAAACAAGAATAACTGAAATACGTGTTGCACAGAGCAAACAAAGTTGACGCTGCACGAGAGTAAACAGAGCCGAGCGTTCTGCATGGACGTGACTGTTTCGGAACTGAAGCATAGTTTGTGAACCGAAGCAATATTTGCTAAAAAATGTGAACCGTTAACAAAGTTGCTCACGAACAGGGTCAGCCAAAATGTAATTAAAGGTTCCACTTTTTTAACTAATCTACCTATGCTACATAATACAAAAGCTCCAATTGCTGAGTGGTCCTCATTGTTCGAAGATGTTAGTACCTGTGGTTGGGCAGGTGACGGTGCATCCGAATTTTGAGTAGGCTGCTGGCTCTGTTCCTGCTTCTGGGGGATGGCTGGGAAGGATCCTGCCCCCCCGGCACCACCACCATCATGTGCTCCTGAGCCTTGATTACTTAGGGCTGCCTTCAAGCGCTGCAGACAGGGAAGCGAGACTTCCAATGAGTGCCAAGCTATCCAGAAGAATAGCTGCCAATAGGTCTAACGTGATGCAGTTTATGGAAGTGGGCTCATCTTGACTCATCTCACCATCTTGGTCTCAGGTTGCAGGTGATAACCTGATGGGGAGGATGAATCACTGCTGGCCCCGCCGACCGGGGGTCCTGGGATCCCAGGAATGTTAGGCACTGAGTTCCCGGGCCTCGCCAGCTTCACAAAGCAAAAAAGAACAAGGTGAGGTGCTTCAGATTAAGGCACAGCATTAAAAGAATATGAATTAATATTTACATTGAGAAAGACTTACAGAAATGACTGAGGTAATCTGCGCAGGACTTTGCAGCAGAGGGACTGTTTGCCCATTCGCAAAGTGCCTTACGATGGGATAAGAGCTTGTTGGTGAGCTATGGACAACAAAAGACATAGTGTCTCAATCATAGACTGAACATGACTAATGAGCTGGATTCCTTCCTAACATTAAGCACGTTAAAAAAAGTCAAATAACTATTTGCATAACATTAACTACAATTTGATAACTGTATTTAGGAATGAGTTGTGGCTCTCAAGAGGACAACTTTCAGTGTTGTAAGGCATAAATGTGTCCCTACATAACCTAATTTTGCACTTCATTTTTTTTTCCCGATAGGTCTTCAGTGTGGCGCTTCATTGCCCCAATACTGCACATGTATGCGATAAGTTCATTTTTTTTTGTACGTGTACCTCAACAGTCACAGAGTTCTTGGGAACGCGACCACAAGTCTTGAACACAAAGAAACATCAGTTTACCTAAGCTGTCGGTTCGAGGGCGGCGCCTGCGTGATGACAGACGTTGGAGATGGTAGCGTAGGGTGAAGAGGATCATTGCTCATGTGGAGAGGCAGAGAACCTGGACGCACAATGGTTGGAGTTGGGGCAGAACTTGCCACTGGCTTTGTCAGAATCTCCTGTTGTCAAATAAAGCAGTGGCATTTAGTTTATCTCAACAAGCTGGAAAAAAAAACAGTTTCTCCATGTCCTCATAATATACTTGATAGAAAGTCTTACACAGCCTGTTGAAAGGCCTGTTTTTTGTGATTAAAAAAAGAGAGACCTTTTCCCAAAGTTTTGAAGTATAACCTCTGTAACATAATTGTTTGATCTTATTAAAGGGGAAAATTAAAAGATAAAACTGTACGATAGACTAGTTGCCTTCATATGTAAACCCACAAGTCACTCATGGTTTGTTGCAGCACCTTTACCTTTTATTACAGCACTCAGTCTTTTAGGGTGGGACTCATCTTGATGTGGCAATATGTGCTCACTCTTCAATCCCCAAATGTGTCATACTCCCACATACGGAGCTGTTCATAATTCGCTCCACCTTGACTAAAGGCCTGAGCATGATGCTGCTACCACCACGCTTCACTGTCATTAGGTACGATGTTCTTTGGGTGACGAGCAGTGTTGTCTTTAAATCATGCACAACATCATTTCATTTTTTTCCCACGTGAACTGGACAGGTTATAGGTCATATCAATGGTGAAATCGTTTTGAAATAATTTATCTTGGTCTCGTTCTTTATTGCATCACAAAAACTTGGTACCTTAACAGCGCTGTGTAGACTTCTTATAACCATTGTAAGTCTTACTCAGTAAACTTCTACTTAGGATCGGATCGAAGTAGAGTTTGTGGTTATTGAGTTTTGCCTCTCACCCTTGAATCTTTACTTATGTCTGACATGCTGGAGGAAGAATCTGGGCTATTGGGAGGAGAAGAATCCACTTCTAAAGGATCTTCATCTTCATCCTTTGCTACACATTGTGTTTGTAAAGCTGAAGCCTTAGTAGGAAAGAAAAAAACAACTGGTGAAAATGCCCTTTAAAAAAATGACAAAAAATGATGACATTTTAGGGGAACTAGCAGCTCATTCATTCGATGTATTTTCATTTGAATTCTCACTGTGTTTTTTGTCCTGTGCTCCTCTTCCTGTACTTTACAAAAGTCCTGTTCGAAGGAATTGGCCAGGTCATTGAATAGTCCAACTTCCTCACAGTTCTTCAGGAAACGTGTGGGTGTGGGTGTCTGGTCTGTGGGTATTGAAGTAAAAATAACACAATTAACTATTATATCAAGTTTCATAGTTTACTGCATAGAATAGCACAGGCCCAAATGTTATTACCTGCTATAATAACAGAGTCTGTTCTAGCAGGACCGAATTTTAATGTCATTTCATGTTTGTGTTTATGCACAGAAAGATGATCTTCGTTGGTGAATCTCTGCAGTAAAGAAAAATGTAAAAAATAAAATTGCAGTGAATTAGTTTACATTAAAACATGAACATGAATTAAAAATAAGCCGTAAGAATGCATTAAAAGAGCAGATGACATTACCTGCCCACATCCAGGGGCAGTGCAGACAAATGGGCGGTCATCCCCCATCTCTCACATAAGTTCTGGAAAATGTTTCAAGATAATGATTCAGTACATACCTCAGCTAATGACCTAAAGTTAAACGAGCAGTAGACAGAACTCATGTTCATTAGATATATATTTTCTGGGCACAATGCAACGAATACCAAAGTGCCTACGTTCGGCAATTCATATTATTGCTGAAATACTAGGCAGATCATCTTTCACTCCAACTACGGATGCCGAGGCGTCAACTTGGGGACGATGAGATTATCGACATTACCACTCTGACATGACACTTTTATAGCGTACAATGACAAGAGTGCAGTGTTAATATTTGTGAAGTGTAGCAACCAGTGGTTTAAAAATGGTGGATAGTTTCACATCAAATGCCAAACCTATGGCTACGTAAGGGACAGGCCCGAGGCTAACATATTACGCTTCTCTGAAAGCATTGACGTTACTATGAACGTGAAAACTAAGCCGATGGACACGTCCAACGCACTGTCAGGAACCAAATAAGCGATTATAGGAACCGACGTTTCCATTACTTCGTTTCGTTGGTCCGCTCAGGACAAAACGCCAGCTAAGAAATGCTAACAACTAGCTTACGCTCGTTAGCTCGTCTTTCGCGGACCATTGCGGCCAAGTTAACGAGTGAACGTTAGCAGTCTTCCAATGTGACATGACGTTGAAACACACCTAGAAAAATCACTGCAGTGTTAAAACCGTCTCACACATCCGAGGATTCAGAATAGGGCTCACCCGACTTTCGAGCAGCCTCGTCGCTCCCCTCCCTGCTCCGTCCGGGCACCAACGCTGCGGTGCTGTCGTCGCCTCGTTGTTGACACTTGACATTCCCATTTCCAATCTCGCGAGAGTTAAAACCCGAACCCAGGGTGTTACATAAAGGTTCGCGGCGCCGGCATGTAAAGACCACCGTTTGTGGTGTTTGTGGTTCAACGTACATTTTCACACATCCACATGCAAAGGAAGTCAGTGACAATGACATGACACGACACACTTCAAACGCTACTCATTCATTGGTGATAACCCCAAAATCAGACAGTGGGAAAGTACATGCAATCAGATTTAAAAAGAAAAGTAAAACTCGAGCTCCCCCCCAAAAATAAGTAAAAAATCGGGCTCCAAAGTAAATAATTACATGCCATACCAGTGTGTTATTTTCATTTACTAATGCTTCATAGGGACAAGTCTATTAGACTTAGACGATTTGAACCTACAGCATTAAGAATTTCTCAGTTATAACGGGATACACTTCTAATGAAACAAGTAAGGCACTTGAGGTTGCTGACGTTGCTTTTAACTTGATTCCCATAACTTCTAAACAGAAGACAAAACCACAAAGGCATGAGTTTTATCTGTAGGATTTACATTAATGATCTGTGAAATATTGTGATTCCAAATCCTCCATCCGTATTAACACAAGCCCACTTGCGCTATCAGATACACTTATGGTTTATAAAGGGCTTAAAAAAAAAAACATTGATTTGTCAGGCCTCGAGATCAAAATAGTAAATTGGAGCATTCAGTACATCAAAATATTTCTCTGCTAACATGATCGATATGGCTATTTACAAATATTGAATAAAATCTGAAGTTAAACATTGAATAAGACACAATAGTAATAATTGCGGTAGTTTAAAAGGGCTGCTTTAACTACTACATAACGACAAAACCTAACATAACAGTGATACACCACTAAGAACATACATTCAACAGTAAAATCAATCAATGGCTAATTACATGGACAGTTAAACCTCACAAACAAGTCGATTACGTTTACAGTTGATGTTTTATGAATGTCTTTTATAACCCAGGTTTGATGTTGGTCCAAATATTGTTAGGTTGAATATGCTGAAAAAACAATTCTGATCAAGAGAAGTAGCTTTCGTTAAATAAAATAGGGGAACTGTGACACATTTGGCTGTATACCACAATGCCTTTGCAAAACACTGAAAACTCAGAGGGGGCAGTTAAGTTTGATTTTGGTATACATCTTTTACAAAGTGAGTAAGATTAACTCTTCGTCATTCTCATTGGTTCAGTAAATGTCATTTTACACAGAATGACCTTAAACTGCTGACCAAGTAAAAGTTGTCTTTGTCACATACAAAAAGTGACTGCTTGCTATGTGCCAATCCCCAATGATCAGCTCAGAGATATTCTTTACTTACTCTGCATTTTACCTTAGGAAATGTTATTTTCCAGAGTATTGCCCTGACTCACTGATCACGTCAATGTTGGTTTTGTAACAAACTACTGGAAAATGACGTGATATTTTGCTAATCCCCAATTAACAGATTATTCAGATTTCAACCAGTATTGAAAATTAACATGCAAAACTGCAATTAAAACTGCAAAACATTACGAGATATTATTATTTCCCAGTGGAAAGACAACACCTGAGAGAGGGGCAAAACACTTTGTGAAGTCCATAAGCATTATTTACAGTTCACGACACCTTGTTTCGGAAGTTGCCTGCTACCGTTTCACTGCAAAACCGGACACCAATTAGTAGTGAAAAACATTCGCAAAGGGCTACCAGACTTTGCAAATTAACACTCAGCTGCATGCCTCCAATGTCTCCACCTGACAAATTTCTGTACCATCTCATGGGCAGCAACAATTTAACTACAACTTCTGAATTCTGTCACTCAAGCAAGCATCTCTCAAGTTCCCTATTTTACTTGCCATCTCTTGTTCAGTTGCACTTCATGTTGCTGACATCAGACATTGCATGCCATGACTCAAGCGGGGTTATATAATAATGTTGGGGTCTATCAACCACTCACACAATACATTTGAGTAAGGGCATATAAAACAACCTAGGTAGCGCGGCTGTGACTTCACCAAAAGCTGAGCAATGCTGATGACCATATAGAATTAAAACAACTCGCACAAGCTACGAAAAACATCTGTCAGAAGCATCTTAAACCTAAAATATTCCTATTTACAGTTTTTTTAATGCAAGCTTACAGTGAATATTTATTTACGCACATTTGTGTCTCAGTTTATCGTGATTTAAGGATTGTTCCGTTATTTTGGTGACCTTGGGGGAATGTTCTGTTCCTTGCCACTCCTTCTGATTCCACGCTGAGGAGAAAAGTTTTTGCCCGTGTTTCCGCCTGTGTTTCTGGGATGCTCCCAAAACTTTAGCCCTGCACCTCCGCTTCGGCCGGAGCGCTTATAACCATAAAATGTGCGAGTGGCTTGCCGGGGAGGGCAGCTGTCTCCACGTTTGTCCGATGTATTTGCAGTATTGGCACGTGTATCCTCCCCTCTATTAACCTTGAGCTCTTGAAGAGGCTGGACGGCCGTAGAGACAGGGGGTGCCGGCGAGGGTGTCTGTGCTGGTGGTCCATCTTTAGCCAGTCGCTGGCAGACTTCTGCATAGCTGAGCTTTTTTGGCTCCTGGTTAAAAGTAAAAAAAGGAAATGGATACATGTCAAGGGAAACATTTGAGACCATGATTGCTTATACAGTACTCAACGTCGTTAATATAAGTCTGTGGATTGGGCAGTTCTGTTGCTGCAAACAGATTCAAAGGGTGAAAATAAATTCCTGTTTCCGCATTAAAATTCCTGGATGTTCATTAACTCACTCAATGTTAGCCATTTTTGACCAATTTGACAAATTTTTGAAGGCCTCCAGAAAATATAGGTCTGTCGCTGTATAAGCATGGAACCAACCAAAAGAAAGCTTTAAACCTCTTATTTCATTAGGAATAAAACGAAACTAAAAAAGAAAAGACATTTCTACGTTTTACCATTCATATAGTAAACAGCAGTTGAAACTGCTAGTTTTCTTGAAAATACTCGTTTCCAAGAAAAATTCTGAGAAAAAGAGCTTTTTGTGAAAGGACACATTTCAAGCATAACTTTCACTTTACCTGTTCTGAGGTGTCAGACGGGGGAGTGGGGACTTCAAGGACAGTGCGGCTACATGTGGAAGATGCGTGCTCTGTTGGGCTAACAAGCTTGATGCAAGACGACACGTTTTCCATTGGAAGAGTAATGTCGGCCTCACCCACATCCTCGACCGGTGAAGAAATTCTAAAGCACAAGGGATTACATATAAGTATGTGGTAATTATTTAACTCATGTTGAACACTTGGTAACCGGGAAAATTGCACCTTGTAACTAGCAGGGCTGGTTTCTGCGTGACCTCAGCAGTAGGTGTCACATCGGGGCTAACAGGACTTGAAGCTGAAGGTTCTGAGATGTTTGATGGTTTAATTTCATTGACCTTGTTGCATACAGCCTTAGAAGAGGGTAAATATACAGTTGACATGAGTCTCCAGGTAGATGTTGGTTATCAGAGAGATCATTAGTAGTTACCTTGTTGGTCACTTTAAGACCACGTACGACATCAGACAGACGCATCTCCGGTGTCTTCTCTTCTGTTACACTAACCACGCATCCTGGCAATGGAGGGAAATTGGAAGCTGCCAGGTCAAACTTTGGCGGAGGCGGCACCTCGACTTCTGTCACAGGACTAGGCTTCTGTTGGAGTAATTTAGGTAAATGATCACATTTTAGATGCATAAAAGCGTTTTAAATATAATCATTACGAAGTATACAAGGTGCTGACCGTGGTATGTTCATCATCTCTTTTCCTCCTCATGCTCCTGTAGTTGTTAATTCTCCTGAAATAAAAGCAACATTGTCGATTGCTTTCCCCACTTTGAGAGGCACGTAAGGAGAGAAATGGTGAATGCTGCTGTTGTAAAATCTCAACACGAATTAAGAGGAGTTTTACAGACCTAGTTCTTACATCCCCGCTCAGATCACCACTGGGCATTGTGTCCTTCGGGGAAGTGTTTTTTGGGCTTAGGGAGGGCAGGCTGGCTGAAGTGGTCGCAATTAAGATCCCTGGTGCCTGAAGGGGCTGTGAGGTCAAAGGCCTCAACAGACCATCCATCAGAGCTGGGGGAGCCATTGGAGGGGTTATGAGCGTGTCACCAGGCCTAAAGTGTCCCTTTAAATGATTCCTGGGGACACAGCAAGGACCCATTTATTGAACAGCACATCCAAATGTTACACAGGCATGCACAAAGGACAGTTATCAGGGGATAAATTAGACATTAAGGGGTTAAAAAGTAGGAGTTGAACCAGTCAGTCAACGAGTCTAAATTTAAAGCTGAGTCGACTTGCTCATCATGTATATTTGACATTTCGCCTTCCAATCGACTAGCTTATGAAGAGCATTTTCATATCGCCCGACTGCTGCTGTTGCCTGACTATCATACTCGTGTCGCAAAATGTCCAGCCAACAAGGCAAAAGTCTTCATACATTGGCATGGGTCAAAGAGTTTGCAAATAAGTTGGTTGTGGCTGAAGGAAGTGGTTTGTCTGGTTCGCTTTGGCTTTTCTGATCACCACTCGGTCTTAAAATACCAGTGGGTTCATGGCACTGGCAGCTGGGAATGAGAGCAGCAGCGCAAAGACGCTCCATCTTCGATGTCAAAATGTTATGTCACTTGCAAAATATGCCACTCTACCCCCAAATACAATAAAAGTGTATGTGAAATAGAAAATGAGAACAGTGAAATGATTTTTTTGGGGGGGGGGGGGGCATGTGTTTTCTTTTTTTTTTTTTGCCATGGCAGTGGGTCGAAATGCATGTAAAACCTTTCCGTGGCACAAGAAGGGTTCGGATCTGCTGAACTGTGCTGAAAAAATACCAACGCTGTCATTGAATAATTAACTTAAACTTTTTTGACATTCTTCGACCACTAAAATAAATCTTTTAGCTGTTGAACCCCCGATACAGAGACATCTTAAAATCATGAATGTCACCTACCGGTTCCTGCACAAAGGCGGATTAGAGCTTGAATTTGCTTTATAGTTTCCCACACTGTTGTAAGCAGTCATGAATCCATTGTTAGGGAAAGGTGCCTGGATGCCACAGTGGTAGAGTCAAAGTGAAATAAAATTAAAATCAACAGTTTTAACTGTCACATACAGTACATGTTCATTTACCGCTTAAACAGAGAGTGAGTACTGGAGATGACTACTGCACCTGTTTTAAGCTTCTTCACAACCTGTTATTCACCATGCGCTGTGATGTAAACTAAACTATTATGTAATTTTGCAATAGTGTACGCTTTTATTTTCCATTTTCTTTTGCTTAGTTTTACTGTGCTCTCTGCTGCCAGGTCAGCAATGCAAATGACAATCTATTTTATAATTCGCAAGGTTAAATTAAAAGAAAAACAATGTGATGATTGCTCTTACCAGAGGAGTTTCAAAGTAAGGCATTGTTGTAGCATTCCAGGACTGGGTAAGACCTGGATAGACCGGGTACTGCTGCTGAGCACTGTACACCTGCTGCATGTACAAAGGGGATCCATATGCAACATGAGGCGTGGCCTGCTGGTTGTACATATTGGAGTCCACGCTGCTGAAGCCCGGCTTACTAAAGAATGTGTTTATTGCCTTGATGCGAGCCTGGAAGGACAAAGCAGAAATGATGAGACTAGAGTTTTAAACGTGTGAATCATCAGCAATTCCAGCAAAAACATTGTAACTGTCGCCTTTGTCCCCTCAGATCTCATAATCTCACGGTCATTAGGCCATAAAACACCGCACTGACTGGAGGGGGGGAGGGGGGGAGGAGTTGGGATTAAGGGAAAAGATGGGAAGGCGAAGGAAGATGAAGAGAACAGAACTAGAGAGGAAAAAAACAGAAATGCAGAAAAGCAAAGTTCCGCCCTAGTCAGTGTCAGTGCATCTGGGTCCTTCTAAGCGCGATACTGATCATCACTGGGGGATACAGCAGCCGTACTCAAGGGAGGGAAAAGATGGGATGCAATCGATGAAAGCACCACTAAACAAACTGTCAAAACACTTTACCAGAAGTGACAAGGTCTATTTGCTAATCAAATTAACACTCAACCTACCATTATTGGCTTCCCCTGAAATACTTTCACTTCCTCCCGTAGATATCTGTAAGCCTGAGGACAGAAAAGATTCTTGCACTCAAAACAAGTACTATCCCTATTCCACATATAATCCTTTATATGTCCTTTGCCATTAAGGGATTTTTAAAATAAAATAATGTTCATCAATTAAATTCAGATTTTGGTAAATAACAAAAGCAATTCCATACCTTGAGTGCATCCATATCTGACTGAAACGTTATGTACCAGTTGCTGTTGTGTGCAAATTCAGCACTTAACATTTTTGGGCACTGTTCACTTTTAAAAAGAGCCTCCACCTCCTGTAAAGGTTGCAAAACATGTTTCACAGCTCTACTTGGATTCTCAACAATGAGCAATTTCATTCAATCAACACAACATTTTTTCCCAAAACAAATATTGATCTATGCAAGCAGGTAAAATGATAAGAGGTTACAAGTGTGGGAAGTGTGAAAAGTTGTCGATACAAGAACATTTATTTGCAATGACGGATCGTCTTTACCTCTACTGGTGTAGTCTCTGGCACCTCTCGCAAAATTATAATGGAGCGACTGTGATTTGGACGAACTTTCTCTCCAGCTTCATCCACTTGAACAAATGGCGATTCTGTAACCGAGACAAAAGATGAAAGAAAAACCCAATTCAAGCAATTACTGAGGTACTTTGTTCACCAATGATCCGAGTTTCATTTTGTAATATACATGCAAAAGGTTGAAAGTAAGTGCTTCCATTAAACAACGCAATGCTTTTGATGTAAAACTCGTACCTCTCAGCACATCCACGATGAGATCCATGTCGTTGGTGAGGGCTTTGATGTCCTCCATGCAAGCGATAGCCCAGATTGGAACAAACTGCTCACTGTCCATCTCCGATATCAGGTATTGGTCAAGTGATAAGTTCTCTCTGGAAAAGCAAGTTTCTGAATAAGATCTGAAGACAATATGGGAGGAGAAATACTTGAATCCCCTCCAAACAAAGTCACGCAACCCACCTTGAAAAGCAAAACTCCAATTTTTTCTTTAAAGACTCCCTCAAACTCTCAGACATGGGTTGTTGTTTTGTGTCATCGACAGTTGACTCGCTTTGGGGGTTTAGGGCTGCAAAGCCTGCATCAAATGGGTGAGTATCATTCATACTGCCTTGTGTGGGCACACAGGCATCAGTGTGATCAGGAAAGTCAGAGCCACATCCTTTTCCCCCAAGAGAGAGAACATCAGGGTACTCTGAGATAGGAAGGCAAGGAGAGACGGCATATCACGATTTTTACAAAAGCAAAATATACAATTTCCTTTTCTGCAAATAAGAGCATAACACTTCCGTGGCGGGACTAAACTTGGAAGACTATTAAGACAATCTCTTGTTGTTGTCTGGTTGAGAGGGAGGAAATGCCATCTGTGCTGTATGTTGCACATACAGCGCATTTGACAATAAAGTTGTACTTGACTTGACAACTCATACCTTCAGTCATGTCAGTGTTGTGAGGATAGGTCTGCAGCCAAGAGGAATTATCTGTCCCCTCCGAGATGTCATTCTGGTGGGCGGGAATCTCCTGCCACACTTTGGCATTGGGGTTCAGAACTGTTTCCTTGGTGGTCACCTATATTAGAAAAAGAAATGCAGTTTGTGATGCAAATATTGTATTTATGAAAGACTATGAAAGACTGATTATCTTTGTGTTTCATCAAACTAAGGTACAGTCCTGCTCACCATTATTGGCACCTATGAAGTTAAAGTCAATAAGTGGAATACCTTCTGGAAGAAAAAATAATCAAGGGAAACATTTTATTGTCTAGAAATAACTTGTTTTTTATACTAAAGAGAAAATGACAAACAAGTGAAAAACAAACAATGGAAGAGAAAACTTAAAATGTGTTGTGCAGGCACACCCTTTCCTCTAAATCAGAATGCAAACACTTTGTGACTCACCTTTGGTAGATCACAAATGAAAATCACCTGCTCTAAGTTGTCTGTGCCCATATGATATGAATTTACCAATAAATGACTTTCATTTATTAAAAAGCCAGAACTTGCAAATATAAGACTAACAAAGGGTGTTGAGCTATCTCCAAAGACCTTGGCATCCGTGTTTCAACGGTATGTAATGTGATAATGAAGTTGGATAAACTGTCAAAAACCTCCCTGGACGTGTGTTGGGATGGGTGGGTAATTTATAACTGAAGTCTTCAAAGGTTGGTGTAAATAAACACCACATCACACATCCAAAGACCTGAAGGCTAACGTGGCACAGTCTAGGATCATGGCTTCAACAAGTACCATACGTCACACACTGAAACAAACAGGGCTTCATGGGCGAAAGCCAAGGAAAACACCATTCCTGAGGCAAACACAGAAAATGCAAGGACTAATCTTTACCAAGGAGTGCCTGGACAAACCACAATCCTGAGATTAAGGGAAAATTTGGGAAATTCTTGGAATATGTTCGGTCGCAGATTAAACAAAAAATTAAGCTTTTTGTCAATGCACACCAACAGTTAACCCTAACCCTTGTTTACAGACGGCACAATGAAACTAACAAAGAACAGCCTCCCAACACTTAAGTATGGTGTAATGGTGACCGTTTTAAAATGGCCAGGAATGAGTCCTGATATCAATCTGATTGAAAATCTTTGGAATGATATGAAATCTGCCGTTGGGCAAAAGAAACCTGAAAACATTTAAGAGCTTCAACAAGTTCCAAAGGAAGATTGGGAGAAATGGGAGAAAAAAAAACAGCTGAGAAGTGCAAGAATTTTACAGATGACTACAAGAAACCTTTGTAAGCTGTCATAACTGCCACAGGGTGTGCAACCAAATATTAAGAGAGGGGTGCCATTACTGTACTGCTGCATTTTCTGTTTCTTCTTTGGAATTAAAATATGTACGTCGAAAAAAACATTTGCTATGTTAAATTACATTGGACATCCAGTTAAAATGCCCTGATTATAGAAATCTGGTACATTTCCATTTATTTCAGAAGATATTGTACAGATCATGCAAAAAACGAAGGTGTGCCAATAACAGTAGGCTGGACTACTATATATATATATATCGATATATATCGATATATATATTTTTTTTTACTTTGTACGATTTTTTTGTGACAAAACCAGTAAATGAATAATGAATACAAGCAAATTGCGTATTTTCTGCACTTTTAATCTGAAATGTCCCCTTTTCTATTAAAAAAGGGAGGGCCCGAAAATTGTTTATTTTAAAAGATTCTGAATAATCGTCTTTTGAAGCAATTGTCAGTTGCACTTGGAGCCTGAATACAGTATATGAATCACAAAACAAAAGTATCACGCTACGGCAGTGAACAATCTCAAAATTTCATGTTGACGTGACTACATACCAGTCATTCACTTTTACATGCAACTCCCATCAGCCAAGTAACATCCACGTTCACCGTTCAATATAGAGACACGTCAACCGGTAAAGCAAGGGAAAGGGCTCGTTAACCTGAGCTCCAATAATCCGGTTTGGTTCGCACGCCTACTACGCACATACAAACCTGATCCTCATTGGTTTCCGCATGCCGGTTCGGCCCGCCTATCAGACGCTCCATTCAACGCGAAAGCCTTTCATCCAGCCTAAAACGCGACGGGTGTATGCATTCGTCACGCACATAAGCATTTGGGTCATTTTTTTTTTAACATTTCAGATTGTATCCGAGTCGACATGATATCAAACGGCCAATTGAGAAGCCACGGTGTGCTCAGCCATTGGCTTGTTTAAAGCGCGGTAGATTGCTGTTGTGGAGCTTGTCGAAACACATGGCGCTGATGTTCAACTAACAAAAAAGGTCTCCAAACGTCTTCGCTCGGCCGTTTAAATTCATCTAATGCGGTCATGTTAGATAGCAAATGCCTTTCAGGTGCAGAAATAAATAGTCAGAGGTTAATTTCTTTCAAGTGTCACACTATAACCTTCAGCTCTACGCTCTTTGATAGCCAATTAGCTCCATACCTAGCTTGAGTTGTGTAACAGCTACCACTGCGAGTCACGTGTAGGCCTATAACACGCTGATCATTACGCATAGATTCCAACTCCAAAGTGAATAAAGAAAACGCCAAGCCACCGGGATCGTGTCACCTTAAATAAACTTGCTCATAAAATAGAGTCCGTCCATAAACGACAATTTGTTTTAAAACGCCGTTTGCCAAAACAGGCGAACCCCACGGAGCCGCCGTGGCTAGCTAAGATGTTTACTAGTTGACCGTGACTTGTTGTTCACCTTTCAAAGGTTACACATCGGGCATTGCAAGGGGCTGAAATTATTAACCAAAACATTCATCGTGCTTACAAAGCCAACAACAAGCGAAGGACGTTGGTGTAAAGTTACAAGAACCCCTGGGCAGTTTAAGTGTAACTGATGAGGGTGATGTATTAAAAAGGAGGAACAGGTTGTTGCCCGTTAGCTAGCGTCCAAGCTAGGCCAAAAACTTACCATGTTTGGAGTGAATATTAAGACGACCTCCGATTCAGTTCGCGGTTGTACAACAATGTCCAATTGGTTTTAGACTTCTGAATGAGGCTCTTTAGACATCGACCACACTTCACCAGAGTGCGGCTTTTTCCTCAACTACCGTCTCCCCGGTAACACGCCAAGCCCAAACACGAGGAGCAAGCGTACACCCCAGACTCCGACTTTTAGGCACACGGACAGCTATCTTCTAAATTGTTCAGAATTAAAAGGAAATTCCCATGCTACGACCTTATCCTTATTTGAAACGAGTGGCTTCAAATGTTAGTGCAGCATGTGACAGCTACGTCGTCTGCCTATAACTCGCTACCTGCAGCTCCATAGGGCGGCACTTCGTCTCCATAGCGACATCTATGGCCAAAATAAGAATATTCAGAGCGTGTTCTCCAGAAAAAGTGGTTCCCAACCTTGATTGAGCAAAGGCACATTTTTTAAATTCGAAAAATCGCACGGCACACCAGGATACATATATCCATTTCATACATTTTGACATATAATAGAGTATCATTTATTAGGTCTTTCTGTCACTAACCATTGCTGGCATAGATAGATGGACAAAGATACATTATTTGATATTAATAAATAATTTTCTCAACAATTAAGTGAAATTTGTTAAGTTTCCGCGGCACACCGTGAGAGCTCTCACTGCACACTTCTGCCCTGGCAAACGGGTCGGGAATCACTGCTCTAGAAGAGACTGCAACCCCGCTCCAACCACAATCAATCTGGAAAGGGTTACAAAGCCATTCCTAAAGCTTCAGGATTCCAACGAACCATGGTGAGAGCATTTCAGAAGAGGGCAAACACTTTTTCAAAGCACTATATTGTATGTATGGCAATAGCGACACAGCTCCATCAAGATCAAGATAAAAAGTGTTTGTGGAAAGGAGTTTTTATTCATGGGGATGGGGTGATAAATACTTGTTCAGCGCAAGCAATTACAGGACACAACATTAATTTTTTTTATGGTGAGGAAAAAAAAAACATCCAACTATTTTCTGTAGCACTAATCCTCACCATGGTGAACTGAAGCCTACCCCATCTTGACTTGAGGTAAAAGGCAGAATAAAGCCTGAACTTGTCACACATACAAAGGCTTTGATGTGTAAATGATGTCATGGCATTAATGTCCAACTGATCCAAGGCAATATATTCACGGTATCTCGCGATCGCTATGATGTTCGTTGTCCATGCCATTTTGGTCAGCACCAAACACGCGCATTGCTGTGACGTACTCCCCTTGCTGCCTACTTCTTTAGAGTTGCAAAGTGATTCTTGTCTCATTGTAGTATTTCACATGAGCAATTCATAATAAAGAGCGTTGCAAAGAGATGGGTGGGGCAGCAATGACAGGCATGTGATTTAACAGTGATTTAACATAAATGACCTATAGTCTTGTTGTAATTCATATTGCAGTTAACACTGTGACGTTCCCAATTCAACCTTCTCTACTGATACGGTTTTAGGTTAGTTTAAGTTCTTTATCTAGATTTTATGCTCTTGGCCTGAGCAATAATTTGATTGTATTTACTGCGTGCCATGACCTCAAGCTGCTGAATTGTTTGAGTTGCTAAACTGCATTCCACTGATGGATGTTGTTGGAAAATGTTTACAGTGACAATTAAGTGTCTGTATCTCATCTTTATGCTGTAATTTTTTGAGATGCTTCGTTGTTGGGCTGTATGTAGTCAAACAGTTGTGAGAACACAATTGAATAGTGTAGAACTCAGTCACAATACAGTACCCTGGTGTATTGGTGTGTTGTGTGAATCAAAAAATGAAATGATCCAATTTCACTAAATTGGTCTACAAAATATGAGTCACTACAAATATGGGATCTTTCTTGATCTATCTTTGCCAGTGACGTCTAGTTGACAGGCAGAAATGTCCCATTATATGGTAGAAAGTACACTTAACCTGTGAAACAGGTCTAAAACGCTTGATGAAAAAAAAAGAAAAACATCTTAGCGGCGTAGTGTCAGAAAGCGATGACCAATCGTTGTCTAAATTCACAAGCACATTTCCACTTCAATCTCTGAAAATATCAAAATAATCGACCCGATATTTTGGATTTTATGGGCAGTAAAGGTTTTCTTCTTGGGGAAAAAAAAAGATTAAGGTCACTTGATTTCAGAAAACTACGACCAATCGCCACCAAAATTCATGAGGACGTCTGTGCGTAGCCCACATCGATTTACAAGAATATCAAAACGACCCCACAATTTGAGATTTTATGGACATTACAGTCTTCCTCTCCATAGGTGACTGCTGAAGCTTTATGTTGCTTCATGAGGAAAACCTTTCATGTCTACAAGATCTCAAATATTGAGGCGATTGTTTAGATATTTTCGGATTGATGTGGGCATATGTCGAAATGTGCACATGAATTTTGGTGACACTAGGTCGTAGATTTCTAACCTTAAGTCACGAGGAGACTACAGGTAGTTGGAGTTGCAGTTTGAATCAGGTGTGTTGGCAGTTGGGAGACAGAAAACATGCAGGGCAGCGGCCCACGAGGCCCGGAGCTGGACATGCTTGTTTCAAACTGTCCCTGTGTAACCACCTGTTACGAGTCATACAACAGAATATAGTTTTGTCTTCAACTAAACTCGCCTCATGCCACGGAAGTAAATTTGCTAGTCATCAATTTTCCAGTACCTGCATAGACTACAACTATACAGAACTTTTTGTGGCATTGTTTAGTGGTGCGCCGTGAGGATTTTTATGATGTAAAATGCGTGCCATTCTCAATAACGGTTGGGAAACACGAGAAAACTAGTGACACGCAAAGCTGTTGTTCTACTATCAATGTTGTGCTACCACCTTGTGAAACTTTCCAATAATAGAAGGAACCTTTCCCGTCAACACACAGTTTTAAACTAGGAGACAGCTGAAAAATATGACCTTCCAAATATGTCTGTACACTCTAAATTATACTTAACTCGCTCCTGCGGCCTGAGATTATGTTTTCTGTCAAAGGTTTCTCTTCGGACGGCCAGAAAACTATTCCTTCCCCTTGAAGACAATGTGTTACCGTCCCAGTCAGTCACACTTGGAACCACCCCCACCAATCAAGTGAGTCTTTGAGCTATGACGTCATCAATAACTCAGCTCCTCCGCTAAACACGTCACGGCCGTTCAAAGACTGCGCAGTCTATTATACTTTACACATTTACCTCCGCCAAGGTGACTGTGCGTGCGTCATTGTTTGTCAGCAGGAATACGCAAACAGTACAATGAAGGGGCGGGACATGCCAACACACAAGTGGTGCTCTCACACGCAATTATTTACTGTAAGTACAAGTAGCCTATGATACTTGTGTAAAAACAACACTGCTAAAAGTCTCAGTACTGATGCAACACATTTACTTAAGTATAAAGGTATACACATTGAAATGTGCCTCATTACAAAAGTCTGCTAAAAGTCTCAGTACTGATGCAACACATTTACAAAAGTTTAAAAAAAATGAATTTCTATGGTCAATAACATCGTTTTGATTTTAAAAATGCGCAAAAAACGTTTTTTACTGACTTGGACAGGCATAGTAGTCGCACTGGCAAGAATAAAAAAAAAATCACTGGATGCAAGCTAAATGCTGACAGGAAAATAGGGACTGAACTAATAACATATTTGGTTGAGTTTTTGATTTTGTTTCACTTCTGTTAGTAGCATTTGACATTTGTTTGCAAGGAGCAAAACGAACAAAAAAAATTACTTATTTTTTTCGATTAAATGGACATTTTTTGGAATTTTAAATGCTTGTGGACTTTTGGCAGAAAACACACACAAGGCATTCAACATGAATCATTCTCGTAGCCGACATTAAACAAGTCTCTTGAATAAGGCCGCAGATGGGGAATATCTTGTTTCTCCTATCTGATCTCAACCTCCGTTGACTTTACTGCTCTCTATTTGCCTATTGTGACAAAGTGAGTCGGTTCTTGGTGACGTCACAGCTCAAAGACTCGCTTGATTGATGGGTGTGGTTCCAAGTGTGGCAGATGTATTGGTGGGTGTCAGTGAAGGTATGATTTGGTGCAGAACCATCAGGTTGTTCGGCCCTACTGAGTGTTACTCGAGTTGAATATGCAGTCACGAGAAATGAAAACACATACAGACCAACACAACCGTGTAGAACAGGGGTGGGAGAGCTTGTGCTCAAGGGCTATATTTTGATTTTTCAATCCCCCGTGGAGTACAATATTATGTTCAATTTGCTGTGCTTCTTCCATCCATCCATTTTCTAAACTTCTTATCCTCACGAGGGTCGTGGGCGTGCTGGAACCTATTTCAGCCGTCTTCGAGCAATAGGCAAGGACAACTTACAACCTCTAGAAGCTAATGTTCACTGCCTCTTTATTACCAAATCATGCAACAAGTCTTCATAAAGGTTAGTGCAGGACATTTTACAGTTCTTTTTCACACACACAGTAAAGCATTAATTTAAGCGTCGTCATGATTAAGCCTTGGTGCTGGAAGCCTGTTTACTTTGTTGTAGCTGTTGGATCTTCATGTTCATGACTTCAACCACAGCTGCAAGCAAACAAATATAACTGTCAGCAACTGCAGGTTAAAAATTGCAACAGTTACTCTGCCACGATAAATGAAACACAGATGGGACCAAGCCCAAAACTCGACCAAGTCAAGAAAGTAAACCAAACTGTGTTCTTAGGCCCCAATGAGGTTCACAAATGGTATTTACTCTTAAATTTGTGAAGACTGTTGGTGGACTCACCTTGTTTCATGGCATGTTTTTCCTGAAGGGCGGGCTGAATTTTCTCTATCTGCTTTGTCAGGAAATCTAGCTTACGTTTGAAGAATGCCTTTGAATCTGCTACGTTCTAAAGAGCAGCAAAAACAGGTTGCACCCTAAGTTATCAGTTTTAAATTCAACTGCACTCATAATGAAACATCAGGACCTTATTTAAAATATATAGGAATACAATAAAAGCACCCACTTACCTTTTCAACATAATATCCTGTCCCCACATCCACTAAAACGTGCTCCACATCATTTAATGTTCCAGGCACATACATCTAGAACAAGTCATGTCAAGAACAATGTCCCTCAGAGACAAAATATGAAACACATTCTAAAATATAATAGGAAATGTATTCCACTCGGCTTTGTCTGGATTTTCTAATTATGTCCTTCCATTTCATATGTGAAGGAGAGTACATTAAAATAACCCTCAATAAGTTATTTACAAAACAACCTGTGGACAACAATGAAAATGCCAGAACCATTCATGTTGAAAAACATGCCTCAAACAAAACTATGATCTATGTTTGGCAGAGAGAAGATCTATCTATCTATGCATCCAAGACGCAGACAATTACAAAAATCCTGGTGCTGAATACCACTCAAGGATACAGAACTTGTAAGTGGGACGAGTAATTCTTTGCCTACGTGAAGAGAAAAAAAAGAGACAGTTTAGTTGCATGATTTAACAACCTCGACGAAACTGGCGAAACCAAAACTTGTGTGTAACATTCACCCCACAGATACAATTGCATACCTCGTTATTAGATTACTCACAAAAAGTTAGGGAGATTCAGCTTTTGGGTGAAATTTCAGTCTTAACCAAAAACTGCACTGTAAACTCAATTACAGGTTGAAAGGTACCGTGGGAACTTTCGCTGGTCCGTTTATCTTTGTTTCTCGCTTATAATGACGCTAGCTACTAGAAGACTATGTATTGTCAGATAAACTATTTAATGGATGCCCAAAAGACAAGTACACGGCCGTAGAACCTTTTTCTGTCAACAGCAACACGAGGGCCTTGCTCAACTCTCCGATCTAATTGTGTGTGCCATAAAGGCCAAACAAGGCTCATCCCAATAACCACGCAAAACCGAATATCCCTAAGTCGGAGTTCATTCAGTGATGCGTCGGTCGCAAGAAAAGATGACATTGGCCAACCGATAACTCCGATTACGATATGTAAACGCACATAATCCGTAAAGAGACGGTACCCACCTTGATTGTTTTTGTTTAAGGAATTCAAATTATCTTTTGCTTCGACATATTTCGCCTGGACAACTTTGAGCTGGCTTATTGAGGACGTCAGGAACTCAATCTCCTGCAAAATAATAAAATATCGCACAACACTGTCAATATTGTCCCCCAAGCAAACGACACACTCGCACACACATTTACATCAATTTGTTAAATGTACAAACATCTATGTGAGCTGGAATGCTTTATCTAGTTTTGAATAGTGGGTGTTAGCGGTAGCGGGAGGGATAATGTTGAAAGAGCGTGAGCAACTGCGTCAAACAAAACCCTACCACTGTGTGCATTCAATTCGATTACCGTCAATACAATAATATTAAACTCAATACGCAACAATTATAAAGGAAAGCATACTTGCCTGGTCTAATTGGCTTTTTAGTCCCTCGAGCTGAGGGAGCGACAGGTCCGCGAGATTGATCGCCATTTTGGGAGTGTGACGTTGTAACTGCTTCCGGTTGAAGGAAGGGTGGGGGTCGTTTTCGTAAGACGCCCCCCAGAGGACGTTAGAGGGCATGCAGCTCAAGTGTTGCACACTGGCGCGTTGAAATG